GACGTCGGAATGGAAAACTACGAAATTGAACCTGTCAGAAGCAATTGTACAACAAATGACTCAAAATTTAGTTCTGGTTTTGCCACAGAAGCCTGAAAAACTGTTAATCAAGTGTAACACGGATCGATATATGCAAATCGAAGTACCAGCACTGATTAACATATCAGTAAACTGTCAAATAGAAATCAGAAAATCAGAAATCAGAAAAATTCTCCAACGATGTAAAAATCCAGTTCGGAAAACCAATATTTTTACCAAAAATCCAATTAACGGAAATGAACGCAATGAAAGTAATAGTCTTTCAAAAATAAATATTGACGAAATATACCAGGTAATAAACGTAGCAGAAAGAGTGACTCCCTTGAAATCAGTGAAAGAAGAAACAAATATGTTCCAAATAATTGTTAATGTCTTTGGAATAACCATGGTTCTAATTTTAGTTTTCATCATTAAGAAACTCTTCTTGGAAACGGGACGAAAATCGAAGAAAACCGCATCCAAACCAGAGGAAACCTGCCAAGAAGAAAATTTTGACGCTTTTTCGTTATTTTCCAAAGTTAAGGAGGGAGGAGTTATATGCGCCGAACAGCAGAGGAATCCCAAAGCTAAGCGAAGATTACACCTCGGTGGCACCGCGTTAAAAATCTTATAGATTCGATTGTCGCATTGTAAAATACGCTCTTAATTATTCGAGCCTTGGTATCGGTTAGTCCAAATAAAACTTTATTTTGCTTTCTGTATAATAAAACTGGAATAAAAATCCGAAAAACCGCCGTGAATAAAAAACGTTCCAATCGAAACGCGACTGTTAGATTTAGGTTTAATTTCATGTTTCTCCCAAGTTTTGTTACTTCGTGGGACGGGATGTTCTTTAGAATTTCAAGTTCTATGTTGTCAGCCTCTAGTTTTGAGTATCTAATTCTTCCCACCGCCCAGCATCCACACAATAAACGCTCTGCTGTTTCCTTATCCGACTTTATCAGAGTTTTCGTGTCTAACAGGTGTCTATAGAGAAATAACCAACATCGGATGTGGTCCTATTTGCTCATTTCCAGGCCAGAAGGTTTGCTCTAGGCAGGGGTTACTTTATTGCGGCTCCTTAACATAGATAAGAGCGTCTTGGGAACTTTTAATGCTGAAGGATATCGGTAAATATCTTGATGTTTCTCTCTATGAGTTGCCTTTCGACGAGCCAGCTTGTACAGTGCTCAATGCAGGAGGAACAAACATGTAACAAACAACAGCTTGTCAAAATTCATTTTTAAAAATTTATTTTTAACGCAGTAGGCTTAATTCTCAACGGAATAAGATGGTATTTTACACACACATGGTAACCAAAATAAAATTGTTTCAGGAATATGTCGTTCGAGGGCACTTTACCCAGAACATTATTTTAATTTATTTTAAAAATTGTTACTCCTGTTTTAAGTCAATAAGTGTTATCGTTTAGCCACAAATTGACTTTTTTATTCTCGGCCCGAATACCCCGCAATTTGCAGGAAGATGATACTGGATATCGCGATATGCATATCTGTTATGGTAAAGCAAATGGAAATGCAGGCAAGCATTATTAACCTGCAAATGTTTAATTTAAGTAACATAAATATATTTAACATTAATATTAATATTAATAATAATCGGGAATTAAACAGTATAAAACAATAATTACAATTCACTTTCAAAATGCCCACTGCCACACATAGTGTTTCGTACACTAAAGAGTTTAAGTGCTCCCAAAAAGAAGCCCATCGGATCCATGGGGTAGTGCGCCATATTGCATTAACCACATGTTTTGTGTTCACTGCAAGGGTACCTCTTCCAGCAAAGGTGGTAGTTCCTCTTGGAGAAATTGCAAATACATTTCCCCATTAAGCGATCCGTTAAAGAAATGACGTCTTATAAGGTTATTTCCTATACTCCCTGTCCCATACATTTAAAGAAAACCGGCGCTGATGTTTTCCTTCAAATGTTGCAAGCTGCGGAACAAGCAATTCTTTCCTGAGCGGCAAGTTTTCTCGTACACGTTGACGGGTCAGCCTCCACATTTTGAAGTATTCTTTCTTCTCCTTCAGCGGTTCTATTATACCTTGGTCTCCTTTTATTCATATTATCAGGTTTGAATGATCCTTTCACCAAATCTTTTATGTATATTCTATTGGGATAAGCCTCGATATAAAGCCTTGATGTTCATTTTCATTTGCTCTTGACTTTTTCAAATTTCATTAAGTCCTGAGCCGAGAATAAAAAAGTCGATTTGTGGCTAAACCATAACACTTATCGACTTACGTAATTTTTGTCTAGATAAATAAAATACAGGGAACATTTAAAGAAATGTTCTAGGTAAAGTGCCCTCTAGTGACAGATTTCTGAAACACGTTTCTTTTGTAACGATCACATTTACCAAATCACGGCTGCATTAAAAATAAAATTAGACTTCGAATTTTTGTTACATGACTTACTACCATTATTTTATTCCAAGTTTCCGGACTCAATATTTCCGAACATAATGTATACTAAGACCGGTCTTTATTTCAATTCTTGGATATTCCCCATAAATGCTGACGTCGACACCTTCATTGGTCTTGGAACGCTCTATGAACCAACGCAGTCATTTCCAGTAAGTCGTTGTCTGTACTTACTCTTTCCTGCAGATTTGGCGTTATCGGAAGATCATTTTTTTGTTCCAACAAATTCTATTCTATTCTAATTTGTAAAGTTGCTATGCTTCAACAGTTCTCGGATATTCACCACACGGAGCTAGGCGCGCCTTGGTTTGATCGAAAAGCTGGTGGCTTACACCGCAGCACTTAAGCCTCAGAAGGTCATTGTGCTTCCTCCTGTAGAGAACTTTCACTTTTATAGCAAATATAATGACTCCACCTAGGCAATGACAGCTCTAAGGCACTGTTCTACTGTCTCGTTTTCCTGTTCGCACATCCTGCACGTGGGGATAATAATCAAACCCAACCTGAATAGCTCAATAGCTTCCTAACTAACCAACGGTATTCTGTTTTACCCATTGTTTTGAAAATTGATTCCAGGAGGTTTCCTATACCAGCTCTTGAATGAATGATGACCGACAGAAGGCTCCGGTCTTATTTCCTCTAGAATTCGCATGCCCTCTAATCCAACCATGATGACTATATTGTTGATTAAGACGTCAAGATCTGTAAAATCTGGTCTGTGAAGACTATTCTGGGATGGTAATCGAAGGAACCCTATACACCTCAAAATTGAAGACCATATGAGTTGAGTTGACTTGACACTAGACTTCATCCCTAGAGTTTCATATGTCATTTAGGGATGCATTTAACTTATTCTCCATAACCTTGCTTTATTGTTTAAAGTATACGTTTCTACTCCCTTGGATTCAACCGTCTTTAAAGGACAAGTGACGATTGTATGAATGAGCTTTATCCAAAAACTTATGGAACTTGGCAAATAGCAGATACTAAACTCGACAGCAACAGATGGGAGAGTAAAGGAGGAAGATGGCCCAATAAATAAAGCACAGAAGATATTCCTATTTATTACGCAGCGAAAACAAAAGAATCATTCCGCACTGAAAAATTTTTCGTAACTGTAATTATTTTGCCCAAAGTAAATAATTGAAATGCTGCAAAATACAGAACAGCCACTATTAACGTTAACAAGTAGGAATTTAATTAGCAGTGGCGATGAATCCCATCCTGGATATCTCGCCTTGAAACAAAAAACGGTTACAAAATAAAAGGAAAGTATTTAAATCTATGGTTATTCCTCGTCGATTAAACTGTTTAAGCACAAAATTAAACTATTACGATCGTTATTCTAAACCACTACAGTGGTGGTGCGTGAAATCAATGTAAACTATCGTTTTATGCGGCCGACGATTTTTGATTTTTTTATTTGCTTTTTTGCTTTGTGTTGAATAATAAACAATCGGATAAATATTTGTTTTGTACTTTCTAAAATGTCCCTCGCCGAATTTACTGTGCTTTTTATGAGCACTGGTTCATGACTGGTACTAAAATTTGCAATAACTCAACACCAGAAAAATTTGTAGCAATAAGATCCAGAAAAATAAATAATACAAATGTTTTCGATTTTTTAAAAATCTTATTAACTTTTTTTAATTCCGTCACTGTCCAGAGATATTAGTTTAACCATATCTCAGGTGAAATAAATTTACTTTTTTACCCCCTACTCTAAATTACACAATTATACACATATCAAGAGTGCGGAAAGTGTCATTTTCGCAGCTTGGTTAAGCATGGTCGCGAGCCACTTCGGATGTTTCCGGTATTTTAGTCACGTGTTGGAGAGCGTTGAATAAGCATTCGCTCCTCACGTGCCAAATCAAACTCGTGACTAAATTGGCGTTTATCAAACTGGTTGCATAATATGCTATTAAATGTCACATACTTTACTGCTGTGTTAGCATTAACACAGCAATACACACATAGAGTACTAGTAGTGCAGCAAGTTTTATCATATAATTTTTATTAGTATTAGTTACTAAAAATTAATTTAAAAAAATTCAAATAAATTTATAAAATATATAAGATCAGTATATCGACAAGGCCAGGCAAGTGATATTGGTTTCTTTCCCTTTTTGGTGAGTTGTTTGATGATTCTGTTGTTGTGGAAGCAATCTTAAATTACGAACAAAACCACCCAACAATATCAACACCTTATTAATATTTGTTGCTCCTCTAATCTATAACCAATTATGGTTTATATTGTTACATTTTAGAACGCATGAGCTTTGTTAGACGCTCTCGTGAGGCTCAGTTTATGTAAGACCCCATAGATATCCAAGGGTAAATATTTAATGAAAACTTAGGGTAGCTGCCCTAAAAAGTAATGATGTGATTTGTAAATCAATTAGTAAATCACAAATAAAGTACCAAAGCATGAAGCAAAAAGGTCAAAGTTTTAAACTGATCCTCGATGTGCATAATTAAACTTTATATCGATATCAATGATATTGAAACCAAAATATGGGCAAACGTGCTTACCATCTGTTGTAAATACTTCAACCTCGCAAAGGGAAAGTGACCCCTCGACGCCGACAAGTTGCAGAAAAACGTACTGACCAATCAGCGATCGTGCACAGGTGAAGGTCTTTGTAACTCCTTCGTCTGAAAAAATGAAAGGAATTTGACGTAAATTATCCAGTGTTATCCATTACTGGATTTTTATGGTATGGTATTATTTGTTTTATGGACAATAATTAGCTATAAAAATGGGCTTTTGTTTTTGATTTGCTAATTTTTTTTCTTAATTTTTAGTTTAAAGACGGGTAGCCAGTAAACCCTAAAACATAGTTTTGTAATAAAATTTTAATCCTAGAGAATGTTAGAAACGAAAAGTCAAATTTGGAAGAAAAAAGCACACCTAAATTCTAGTCACGATTTTGCGAAAAGTATCTTACGGTATTATATGAATTTAGCTAGAGAACCAAATGACATGTACGTATGTATGTATGTATAACCAATACAATAATATAAATAGTTCGTTTACAAACTTTTTTATATTTAATTACAATTTTCTTCGGGTTTTGTTGTGTTTTCGAGATAACAAAAGTACAAGAAAATGTCCTTTGAAAACGGCAGGTCAAAAATAACTTTTTATTTTGTGTGTCTGGCTATATTTTGACCGCCTATCTACAGGGTTTAACAAAAAGTTATACCAAAAAAATATATATAATAAAATTTTTGATTTAAATTTTCAATTTTTTTCTTGATTCTTTTAGTTTTTATTCTTGACCATTAGACATTACAATAATTTAACTATTATTTGATATCGCAAAAATTTGCCTTAATTAGGAGTATAACAATTAAACCGCCAATATTTCTGACATTTTTAAAGAGACAATAACAGTATTTTTCCGAAGTTAATTATCATAAACGCCATAGAAAGGATATCCAATTATAACCGAACAATCTGTACTGGCTGGTTATTTAGTGCTAGCAAAAATTACAACAAAATAAATCAAGAAAAATGGGTGTTGCGCTCTAAGATAGAGGAATTTGCTATTAACTAACTGAAACTGCCCCAAAGAGACACCAACAGTAACACAATAATAATAAATTAAAGGAGGCAAAAGGCATTATCTTAATTTTAATTGTCTTATCTTAATGAACTTTTAAATTAATTACTCGGCATAAGAGGATATCCTTAGGAACGAATATTTCTCGCAACATAGTTTCACCATAAAAAAAACTAATGAGTAAGGCAAGAAATAAGTAGGAAGGTTCGTGAAATCAGATCGTGATTGCTTATTATAGAAATGTGTAATAACTCGTTGCCTTGTGTAGATCCAGTCATGCGAAACCATTTTTAACGATGTTTTTCAAAATTATTGTTACAGTTTTTAACAACATTTGCGGTTACGAGTTGTAGTTATTTTTGATTTGGAAAAATGGTCACTTTTGCTACTCGTTTACTCCTATATTCCAAAGTTCTGTTCGGTTACACTTTGAAAAATAAGAAACAAGTTTTAGGTAGACATTTGATGTTGATGATGCGAACTGTGTCTTGATAACTTCAATACAATAATTTTTAAGACTTCAAATTACTTACCTATGGTGCCCGGGAACCAAGCGCACAAGGGGTTCCTCTGCAAGTCGCTGCTGCTGTTCCCAACCCTGATCTCCAGGTCTTGGAGAGGCTGATGACCACAACATCCCCTGGTGGTTACCCTCACGACTTTCACGGGGTACGGTTTGAGCAAATTGACTTGCCACCACGGGCTTGCTTCCTTTTGGGTTTCGGAACACTTTTTGCTGTCGTGATCTGTAGATTTTTCGCCGTCGTTGGCGTTGAGTGAACTGCCACCACGTACGGTAGTCGATTGATTAGCTGGTTTTCTGAAGGCTATGTTCACTCCTGAAGCAGAAGAAATTCACGTATTTAATTGACAAATAATTATGTTGTTCCGTTTACATTTTTTACATTCACAAGATCTTTCTGGCATATTGAGATGGACTTGTTGTAACAACCGATGTGTTTTTAGCCTAATAAAATGGGATATCTCTGAGCAAAAAAAAATTATGATAGAAACACTTTTTTGAGTTCCAAACCTAACATCCGCCATTACACCGAATAATAGAAAACGACATAGAGAAAATCGAAACATATCTAACACCTTTAGATATTGTAGACTCTTGATTTGATTTATTTATTTATTAACCGTTAATACTATTTACAATTTTGAAAATATTCACAATACCGAAAACAATACTAAGCGGTGACGATTATAACTGAAAATAGAAGCAGAATAGATATGTATAGAATCAATTATGTAAATATAAAACAATATAAATAATAAACGATAAGCAGATAAGCCGTTTGGTTCACAGTTAAATATGCATTGAAATTAATTCAAAATAGTATGCACGTAAACGTCACAGACTAGTGGAAGATCACAGACGTTAGTTCAGACTCGAAAGAATTTAATGTTCTACGAAAACAATATACTTCTGGATTCTTATTTAATAGAGTAACTAATCTATTATAAGCCATATTAGATCTCTAGGAGGTACATAAAAGTTTGTGGTGCCTAGAAATAAAACTCCATCCATCTTGTGTGCACTTCAAAATTAGGACACCAAATTATAGAAATATAGTCTAAATCTGACACAGTTTTAACCTTACATAGATCAATCCTTTTTTTTTTTAATTCAATTCTTCTTTTACCACTAAAAACCATGTAAGATGATGATGTAACAAGACATTGATGTTAATTTATTGTTTCAGAGTAAAATTTAAACATCTCAACTGAATGTGGTGTTGGTAAAGTAAAACATCGTGGTGTGATATTTTATTTAGACCCCGAAACCATGTTTGTGTCGAATTTATGTAATGAAAGTCATGGAGTTCCTCTACCGGATATTTTATTGTTTATTTGGCAAATGGTAACTGGCCGTAACCTGCACCATTTGATATATTTTTAATTTTACAAACATCAAAATTAGCTCCAAAATGTCTTACAAGAGTACAAGAATTGCGAAAATCACGAGAATCTTTTTTTTTAAACACTGGTTGCAGAGAAATTATAGTTATCCAAATGATTTAAAATTGGTGTTAAAATATCTCAAAATTCGTGCTTATCATATGGCTGCTAGATTTATAGAGAACCTGGTTACTGCTATAGCTTTGGAAGCTCGCATCAAAAAATAAGACCCGTAGTTTCAAATCTCTCCTTTTACGACTAAAATCGAAAGTAGTAACATAGTGCAAAGTGCAAGTTAGTGTATGAAATTTAAGAGCGTGGGCACAGAATCATTATCACCTGTATGAAAGTACCATAGCCTCCGAGTTGCGAGTTCTGCATTATCTAATATTTACCACAGGTGTTGGAGGATCAGAAGTAAGCGTAAGGCATTAAATTGCTTCAGTTGCTTCCCAGAACTTTTTATAACGTTCGAGGTTAAATATTTTCAAGGCTAGCGCACACTTATGATAGATTGCGAGATAATTGTTTGAACCATCTAATTATTCTAATTACCAATTATAATCATTTTAAAACAATTATAATTTTTCTCGAGATAATGTGCTCGTGACCGATGTTTGTTTCTTTTACACAACCACATTCATCCGATGATCTAATCTATCCGACAGTTGAAAGGGAGATACGATCGAGAATAGGTTTGCGTTGTGTCCTTTTTTTTTTGGTACGATCTGTACCCGGAATCGCGAGGTTTCTATATATGCCAAGCAGAGGCGTACATCTCATTATAACGTGGGTATTATTTTAGGTTACTCACTCTCTGAATAAAATAATGGGTATATTGAACTCACAGTTCTTTTTTTGTTGTTTTTCTGTGCTGCCTTAAATGAGCGGCCAACGTTGAAAAATATACCAGTGAATAATAATAATTCTTAATTGTAATTCGATTTTACAAGAATAAAACATTTCCTTGATAAAGAAAAAAAAGCGTCACTTTTCTTATATTATTTAAGAAAGTTAAGAACGCCTTATATATCTTAGTTCACTTATAAGATTTTTCACAGTAATTGAGAGAATCTGATTATAATCATTTATTTATTATTTTTCCGGTTCAACACATTTCTGTTATTAAATATAAAAATTTAGCTTTCGTAAATATAGATTCATTGCCGTTCCGCGCAATTGTTTTAAAATTGCGTTCGAAGAGCCAACGCTCATATTTGAAATAATAAAAACATTTTACACACAGCCTTAAATTATCAAGCCATATACTATATATCGACTGATTGCATAACCTACCCTTTGGTTGATTTTGTACGTACAGTTTGCATATGTGACTGAGTACGGAAATAATATACTTACCACAAAATGGCATTTCACCTGCCCATTGCCCCGAAGGCGAGCAAGAAATCTGAGTATTTCCGAACGTTTCGTAACCTTCATCGCAGCGGTACGTCGCTATGGTACCGGGTACTAGGCTGGGCGAGCTCAATGTCATGCGAGCGTTGAGAGGTACTGGAGGATGGCCGCATTTTAGCTCTGCAAAAGAAAAAAATATGCCTATATTTCTTGTTAAATGCCTATTATTTTTCTTCTATAATATTATTTAGTTGTCGAGAAAGATTATTCCCCAAAGTTAAATAATATTTTGGTGAAAAATCTTTACAGTATTGCGAATATTTTCAAACGATGTCCAATCTCATTGTTTACTTCTGAATTATGTCTATATTATCCTTGTTCTAGTTTAGCGTTGATAATAGAACAAACTCAAAATTGAGTCAAGTGTTGCCTGATGCCGCTTTGCAATTTACAAAACCAGAAAAGAGCGTCATAAAATATTGCTATGCTAATCTAGTGAATACAACTTAGCGGCCGTTTCAAAGATCTATCTTTATTTTAGTAACTTCATTAAAGTGATATTATATAGCATATTGTTTTGGGGAGACTCTTCAGATGCATATAGAATTTTTAAAATTCAAAAAAAAAAATTGCTCGAACTTTGTGTGGTCCACAAACTAAGGATCACTGTCACCCACTATTTAAAACATTGAAAATACTAACTGTCCCTTCAATTTTTATGTATCACGATATGTATGTATGATACCAGACATAATAATGATCTGTGTTCCCTATCATCGTGTAAACAAAACTTAATACCAGCAACTATCAGAAACAACTATTCAACGATTGAATTAAAGAAAAATTATTATATACGTTTTACCAGAGGAATGCTTTTATAACTATTTTTTTGAATATAACTTTGAGAGCTACGTGATCTCTAAATTTTAGATTGTTTGTATGTGCGGAAACTTTTCGTTATATTGACAACTTTAAATGTATTGTATATATATGTTTGGACAGTACATTATTTTATTTAAATATGTAGACGAATTTTTTGTTAAGACATATTTTATTTAAAATAGGGTAAGGGAATTATTTTTTTGATCGTGTTTCATGCTAAAAACCGCTAGACAAAAAAGACTATTATAGTGCTAATATACACAACGAATATTATACTAGCAATTATATCTTCAAACTATATATATCAAACTTGAATGTCCTAAATTTCAAATCAAATAGGAAATCAAATATTTAAAAAAAAAGTAAAACGTTTCTTAGTAGTGATAATAAAAATCATATACAAAAATATTTTTAGTTATTTTCTTTGAATTAATTGACAATACCTTGTAATATTTAATTAAAAACCAGTAGCTACTTAAACAATGAAACAACTTAATGCCACTTGCAGAATATAAATTTTTCTTTTTGATCAACTTTTATGACCCTTCATTCATGTTTTCGAAAATTGCAGGTTTTTATGAAATTATAAATGATTAACGAATCTCCCTCATTCATAGAATCAGGTACACCGATATGTTTTCCAGCTGTCTATAATTCAACGTCCACATTTAAGAAAATGGATAACAGTTTACAATAGGAAAAGTTAATATTCGCACATGCGGAAACCATTTAACCAATTGCATATTTATTGTATAGTAACGCGCGGTGTAGAGAAATCCATAATGTAACTGATTAACAAAGAAAATCAATGAACTAGTTCATTCAACACAAATCCCATGTAGCCGTTGGAAGTTAATTTCTCTTTAGATTTATATCTTAGTAAATATGTTTCTTGTATGATAATTCTTGAGATCCGTTACGTTACGGCGTGACAATAAAGGAAGTGCTTTTAGACCCTCGATTTATCAGTACCCAGTTCATACGTGGGATGATCTGTGGTACCACATACCGCAAGGATTAGTGCTAAGCAAACATACAATTTTATGCGGGTAAATTGAACGTGAAATATTTTAAATCAACATACACGTAACAATAATATTTATACAATTCTTTATTCGTACCTGAATAGATACAGGGTGTGAGGAAAATAAACCATTCCAAAAATATCTCCAGGGATATATAATAATAAAAAAGACAATGCTATTGAACGGGGCAGAACAGGGTATAAAATTTTGAAAATCTGGAAGTTATCTTTTGGGAAGACGAGGAATAAAAATGTCATGAAAATGTGTTTTCTCAAGGGAAACCATCTTCAGTAGGAAGGAAGCTTGGGAATGACTGTGGGAATAGGCTTTTGGTTTTGTTTCCTCGTGCGGTAATATACTCCTGTAATTATATTTTCTCTTTTAGCCTTAATGAAGTCTTTTTGTCTTTTGGTATTCGTATAAACATTTTCACGTTCAGTGGTGGTAAGTATACGTGGTAATACGTGTCGTTGCACTTTCTGCACTTTGTCATTTTATTTGGCCCGCACTCGCCATGAAAAATGAAAGTTCTGCAGAAGCACATCTAAATGACTTTCCTTTCACTACATTTTCGGAATTTATTTGTTGATAACCATTGGACCATTGATTTTCAGAATATTAAATGCAACTTTAAAATGTGTTTGGGATACAGGTTACAGCGATTTTTTTTTTAATTTGCTTACTCGAAAAACGATTTTTACAATTATATTTTTTATCAAAAAACATCAGTTTTCGAAATTTCTCACTTTAAAGTATTTAATTTAGCCCGACCGGGTGAAAAAGGTTTTCGTTCTTTTTGGATGAAGCGTTAAAAAATCCTGATTTCTTTTCAAAATAAATTGCAGACAAAATTTCAGCTTTCTTAATATCCAAATATCTCAGTAGCAAGACATTAAATTCGAATCAGCCATAATTAATTAATATCTCGAAAACCGGTATGGACAGGTATAGCAAAACACCTCACAGAAATGATGAGAAAGTGACAGCCAAGCGACAAAGGAAACTACAAATAGGGTATTAAAGCGTTATTGTATTAATAATAATAATAATAATAATAATAATAATAATAATAATAATAATAATAATAATAATAATAATAATAATAATAACTTACAATTCAAGATTTTGTTTCCATTTGTTTTTAAAAAGTTAAACGCAGAAAAATTTTAAAATAAATTGGTTTAACCTGGTAAGTAACTAAATGTTTACACTCGTTGTTAACATCTTTAAACAAATATGTGCAAATTCGTATCTCGGACAACGTACCCACGCAAAAGTACCGTTAGGTGGAAAACTTGCCGTCGTCAGCCAATTTTTAAGACCAAAAAAAAAACCGCGGGAGTTGTTATTTCGATATCTGGGTTAAATGTTACATTTTAAATTGTTAAATACGGTATTGTTTACGTCCAGGTCTCACGTATAGAGGACTACCCGTTACATCGATGTCTAGCGGTTGTAAAATTCCGCGTAAATACATGTCGATAACAAGTAAACTTGTTTAATAGGTTACTGCAATAAATTGTGGCTCAGTATGCATACAAATACTTAATTTTACGAATAAATTATAACGAAAAGTATAAAAGTTCCTTATTGTGCATTTTAGGGTCCTGTATAAAACATATTAACTAACCAAAACTGGATGCGATGAGTAGTCTGATGTTCTTTTACAGTATAGTATATTTATCAAATAAAGCGGAAAACTCTATCATTGTTGTCTTCTTAGATATTTTATATTCGATAGCTCTTATATTTGAATTCAATACTACATACTACAAGAAAATGTTTATTTTTAAGCCAAATTAAAATACCTTAAAACAATTTGGATTCGAATTCAACCTATTAGTTTTACTACAACGAAAAATTTGTTTCCTCTCAATTCTTTCCTAAATATGCTGTAGCAATAAGCAATAAGACAAAAATTGCGAGTGCGAGAGCAACGAAATACTAAAATTTGTTTCTTCATTTAGTCTTTGTGTTTTGTTTTTTTTTTGAGTAATTTATCACAGAAATCTTTTTCAAAATTCCACCTCTTTAGATAAGTATGTGTATACCGTAGCTTGCAAAAATTAGAAAATACGATTATTACTTTTTTCAATTCCTAGGAAAATTTTGAACTGCATTTTATTTTTCTACTAACAAATTTCCTACTTCTTATTTTTTCAAATATGAAATATTAAATTAAATTACATCGAAGATTGGGGAAAGGCAATGTATAGTAATATATAGAACCAGAAGCTTAAATTACATTTTTCATATTCTGAGCTTCGTTGTGCTTTGACTGGTTGCATATGCTTCTCAAAATTATTACTTGCTTCTTCAATTCAGTGAGTAAATCAGGCTTATGAATTTACTTTTGATTATGCGACCACATAAATATTCGGAATATAGCTATACAAAACAAACAACTCACATTATTTTTATATCCGCATATGCAGTGCTCTTGACTTACGAAATAAACTAATTTACAATGGAGGTGCATTAAATGCCACTCCCCATAGGTAACCTTGAATCGACATTGATTTTAATCTGGTTATAAAACGATTGAAATAGTTTAACATACAATATTGTCAACTTGTAGGAAGTAATACTGGGTGTATATCTAGGTGGTTAATTATGTGTTGGCAATCAGTCACTTGCTTTTTGACTTGCTGAAGTACAAGTGCATCCCTATTTCTCTATCCACTTGACAACAATTCAAAATGTACGTTTTTCATTTGGCAAAAAAAAAATGAATTAGCAATAATAGCAAAAAGCGCATGTCCAAATTCAAAGTGCCTGTGCTCACAAAAAGCCGTCTAAATGCGACGTTAACAATAAAGGAGACGAATATTGGCCAGAGTCCTCGTTTAATTACTAAATAGGGCAAGAATTGAGCAAACCAGAAGCGTCTTTATAAAATTATGAAACAACTTTTTATAAAGTCGCATCTTAGCATGGCACTTCATCTCAGAATGATAAAGTGTTCTCTATTATATAACACTATATTATATAACACTTCAGCCAACCATGGGATAGAAAATCGAAGCTTTTAAAATCGAAGAATCTTGCTCAGATCATGGGTAGCAAGAATAACTAATACCGAGGTACTTAGACACAGAATTCATGCGCCTAAAAATATCTAACGCACTGGTATTTCTGCTCATCAATTGAAATCTTTGGAGCAGCAGTTTCCAAAACTATATATTAATGGTATCCATTCAAACCCTTATTACATTTTTTAAAATACAGGAAAGTATCAAAAATCACCCTGCAAATTACCGAATCGAAAATATA